AACCACCAAAAAAAAAAAATCTGACAAGCCTTCTCCTTCACAATCTAGGAAAAGATGACAGTAAATCAATGATCAGATTTACTTTTTTTTTTTTTTTCAAATTCAATTAAGATTAACCTCCATGTCTGCACCTTGACACCCAGATAACATCTTAAAATTAAGCAACTTTCTGCATTAATCATACACAGCTATACTAGGCAGGTGAAAACACAGCTGACCCCTGTGTAACTACAAGCTCATAAGGTGGATGTGTTGGTGTGAAATGGTTAGCAGGCGTTTCCTGCCACCACTGCCAGTCAATTTATACCTAAGGTAACAAACATTTAAACATCATGATTATTTCCTGGGGTTTCACTGAATACAACTTGCTTATCACCCAAAATTCAATATGATACGAATATTTCCTGGGATGCCACTGAAAATTTACTGAGGTATCAAAAAAAAATCTCAATATTATGCAAACTTTTCCTGTAGAATCCTGGGATATCTGATTATTTACCAATGAATGAATCACTCATATCAAAACACTAACTGAACATTTCCTGGGGTGTCACATTAAAATTTACGAGGGATGCAAGTATAAAATCTTGAAATTGTGTAGACTTTTCTGAATAAAGTGTCAATGACTATTTTCTACCTATCTCTAGAAATATCGAGACACTAAAAATAGTTCCCAAAATCTGACTCACCTGCACCTTATCACACATCCCTTTGAGCTTCTGAATAAACTCCGTCCCCGATCTGGCACGTTCTGAAAGCGCTTGGAGATTTTGGGAAAGCTCATTCTGAAATGACAACAATAAATTACACATAAGAGGATTATATGAACAAAACAAAGAACAAAAACATTGCCAAAACGTATGTCCCCTGTCCTTTTTAATTTCAAGGAATTTACCTCCATTCAGTACCATCAGAGTAAAGCAAAACAAATATCATCTAAATTATATAACGGTAATAAATATAACAATTTCACATCAAAGCCTTTTACAGTATGCATGATTTCTACACGTACACTGGCATTATTGCATAAGCATTCATTTATATGAATCTAAACATTTAATTATTACTAAGTTGAGCAAAATTTTCTCCCTTATAGCATTTTTACTTCTTGTCACATTTTTAAACCTTCATATCCAGTAGCAAAGACAAAATAATCCAAAATATCATCATTTAAGTCTCTTGGAAGACCTGATTGTGAAAAAGTCAAACATTTTACAATGGGGTAAAGATATTAAGGAGGGAGGGGGCAACACCATGGAATGGTTCTCAAAGAGATTTTTTTTTTTTTTTTTTTTGGTAAGACAAGCCAAAATACACAGATTCCACGCCCAGAGGTAACCTTACAAGGTGTACATCCTCACAGATAGTGGAGGTGTGGACTGATTGCATTAGTATCAATCTATCTTGTCCTGAATGGGTACACTTACAGGGGTAATGTTTGTAAACGGACTCCTTTGGTAAACTAATTGTTTGCCAAAAGATCAACCAGAATAGCGTTAAGTTGCTTGTAAGCCATGCCTTGGAGATATCACACTTGCCAAGAAAAGCAGGGAAAGTGTTTTAATTTAGTAGTTTACAGCAAGGTGGAGCATCAGCACAGTGTTTTCATTGTATTACCAATAAAGTGATGCAGCTGCCTAATCCAATATTTGCCTACCTGCCAAAAATAATACATTACCCAAGCACCTTAATGTTTCCATTTAAAAGAAGACCTTAGAGTTAATCAAAATAGATCAGTTATCCGTCAACACTGTACTCTGATTGACTATTATAGTCACACTGCTAGGAAGATGAAAAGTTATCCCTTTTCTTTGAGTAATATAATTCTTACCCTAGCATCAGTGTCACGTTTTAATTTCTCTGTTTCAATCACATCTGTTATTACTTTTAATTACCTCCAAACAACGGCACTTATTTGTTTGGCTACGCCGGGAATTATCCCATCTTATGAATCATAGACACATCAGCCCATTCATCAGCCTACTATTTCTTTGTTTTCATCCTTAATTAAAAGGCCAGGGAAGAAAGAAAATCCATCTCTTCATAGCAACACACATTCTCCCCGGAGAACTCCAGAAATCAAACTGAACGGACCAAAAATCAAACGCAGATCACAAAGTTATTGTGAAAATGCATGACAGACGGCAGAGCCGTAACTGATACATTATCATAATCTTAACATAATCAGACTAGGTTGTAATCACTGACGATCTCATTTCACACATTATCTCCCAATAAACTGCTATCATTCCTGATCCATTAACCAAATTAGGTTAAAAGTGAATAAGCCGCCCAGGCATAGTGAGCTAGCAAGAAAACATGACAAGTAAGCACTGGTTTGGACACAGGAATAACGATCCCTATGCGTAGCTTAGTACAAAAGGAGGTGGGTTTTCTGACAAGGTAACCATGTGGTTTGGAACATTAGGAATTGAAAATCTTTTGTATCTTTAAAATTAGGCCACACTTTTTTATTTTTATGGATGACATCCTGCGCGCGCACCGATTTTCGCCCGTTCTCCCAAAAAAAAAAAAAAAAAAAAAAAAAAAAAAAAAAAAAATCACACCCCCGCCCCCAACGAAGTCGGTTGTCGCAAACGTAGTTATTGAATTTGCCAGGAAATGAGCTTTCTGCGCATGTGTAATATCGCCCTGTGGAAATGCGGCCGCTTTGCCGTCAAATTCATCTCTAGGATGACTTTCAAATTACACAACAATAAAAGTCATAAAGAGAACGGGCGCCATCGTTTTGGATTGGTATGCCATTGATATTGGGCATGGAGATATCACCCTTTTACAACTGTGCGAATGGTTGGCGGCGGCCAGCAATTATCGCCCGAAAAATTTCTGTGACATTCTGTACAAAGTAGCACATTAATACCATTTTTTCTTTAGCGAAAAAAAGGGCGTCGAGGTATTTGGTGGGCTGAAGGTCGAACAGGCCACCTGACAGTTTGGCTGCTTCGTGTGAGTTGAATCGTCCGAAATGACCTTTAATAGATTTGGTAGTATTAAGCATATCTTTGCATCATTTTTTTAACATTTCTGTGAAGTGTTCAAAATGCTTTAAAGGTACATACGAACCGAGCAACGGTGGTGTGTGGATTCCGAGTAAAACATGTAAACCACTTCTACTAGATTCTTATATGACTCAAATAAATCCGACATGCCAAGGGATAAACTGAATAGATCACTCGATCAGCCATAAAAGACCTTTAGACTGCTCCTTTCTTTAAATTTATGGTTGTAAATATAACCTACTTCCGTGACCTACTTTCCTGCCCCATTGACATACAGCTTAGAATGCCATCAGAAAAATCTGTTCAAACATAATTTTCGGGTAAAATTAAACAATGCCTTATGGTAATTCTCTTAGTTATACAACTTGAAACTATATGCTGGCATTTGGTTAGTTTTTGGGACAAAAAATTGGCTTTGTATGCATCTTTAATATTCTGAGAATACAAATAAAGGCACACTGTTTGATTGATGTTTGTTTTATTGATTGCTATGCCAACTGAATGCATGAAATAACCTTAAATAGATTTGGTTATATGAAGTAGGCCTATATCTATTCATGATTTTTTTTTTACATTTCTACAAAGTATTCACAATGCTTTAATATTTTGAGAGCATGGATAAAGACATATTGTTAGTTTGATACGTGTTTCTGTGGAAAAGTATGTTTCCAGTTGTCTACTGACAGCATTCCTTTACTTAAGCAGTATTTTTTTTTTTGGGACTGTTTTTTTTCGCCCTCTCGCACCGATTTTGGGGTACCCAGAGGATGTCATCCATAAAAATAAAAAAGTGTGGCCTTACGATCATTGATTATTTCATTGAATGGACACCATGTGGTTTGGTACATCACAGTTTACTATGCTATTCCATCTTTGCAAATGAGTGTCTGTTTTTTAAGAGAACAAATGAAATTTTCATTCACACTTGATGTCAAACAGCTGAATTGTCATTATCCAAGTCATAAGGTAAAGACCAACAATAATTTATCCTTTTTTTTTCTTTTTTCGACAACTCCCCAGGGCCCCTTAGGCTCCATGTCATGTCTATGCCATAAATTACAAACACCAGTCTCTCCACAGGAAGCCTACAGGCGTATTCAAACTAGATCTAACTTAAAACTAAGTGTGAAATATCATCTTGTCAATGGTACCCTGAGCCTCAAACTTAAAAATCTCTGGTCTATCAATCTCTTTGTATGATGACACATTTTAGGTTCCTCAATTTCACTTCCAAGTTTTACTTTGTCCGACTATTCTAGACCTTAAGCCTTCTTGTCAGACAGCCTTTTTTTGTAAAAGCCATCAGTAATTTGCCAATACAACTCTCTTAATTTTTCATGTGCACGTCTTGTACCATTGGCAAAATGGCAGCAATTACTTTGAGCTGGCCAATCAGTCTCCTGTTATTACTCACTCACTGCCAACATTGCACAACGAGTTGTTGTAGCTTGCCAAGTTTTCAACAAAAGAAGAAAAAAAGTGTCAAGCCTACATAAAAGTTTGGGTACTTGCTCATCCTTGCATGCTTCTTTGTATTTTCCACCCAAAACAATATGATAGGCCTGAGATGTTAATTTACACAACATCAAAATATTAGTTTATTAGCCATTCTGTTGTCACAAAGGTAACAGATGGGGAATTCTAGGAGCAACAAAAGCACAATTTCCATACATCTCCTCACACACTGTACCATCAAAACCAGTGGTTTTCTTATCCTGTTTAATGCCAATCTGCACATTCAATGAACTAACAGCGCTTAATCTGGAAGACTGATGAAGAAGGCTGCGTTCAAAACAGGTTTATGTTAAAGCAGTGGTCTATCTCACAAAACTCCTTTTTGCTTAGCGTAGAGTGTTGAAATCAGCTTACTCTGTAAAGCTAACTTTGTGATATTGGTTTGGGATGGTTATACAATTTTGCTACTATAAATATAGTTTAGGTACCAAATTATGCCACTGTCACCAATGACATTAACAAATATATCGTAGTCTACTAAAACAAAGGTACCACCTGTCTAAAACATGGACAATTTCAATTACTTTTGCTTTTTGAACAATATTGTCATTAAAATGTTCTATTATTTGTTCTGAGTCAATGTAAACTAAAGAGTTTAATAATTTTATTTCTTTCTCTTATGAAATTAGTCCCTAGAAACATCAGTTGTACTGTTAACATTTAAAGCTATTTGGGTAGTGAACGCGTCAAAAGAGATCTCCCTGTATTTACATGACAGCCAACAGGATCAATGTTATAGCACCCAACAGATGAGTTGATATCAGACATTGATGCTAACCATTTCTCTTGGTTTGCACATTGGGTTGATATGTGTTTGATCTGTAATATAAATCAATGGGCTGAATTGGGCACATCTGTAGAGAAAGCCTCATAGTTAGACTAATTACCCTTTTAGTGCCGAAGTATACCCAGTACAAATTATGCTGCCAACCTTTGCATCATACCCTATCAGTCTCCTTTCCAAGAGCCTTACAGAAACACGTCAGTTTTTTTTTCTTTCCTTGTTCTTAGAAAGCAATAACGTTAACTAGGTATGCACTTCATCCATTACTGTCAACCTTCAGACTGACACTTTTATGTAGAAACAGCTAACGCAACTCCTACACCATTCATTAACAAGCTTGACAAAGGAAAGTGATTCACACGTGTCAGTTTGGTTGGGCTTTTGTTTTTCTATTCTCCAAACGAAATATATGTCAATTGCATAACATAATGCTGGAACAAAAGCATCCTGTCACGCAATCAACTTTGGCCATCTCAAATTCATTTTACTTGAAAGTTGAATTATTAAGAAGCAAAACAGCATTGCCAACTCTGATGTCATCATAAGCAGCTAGACTCCAGTTCAACCAGCCTCAGAAATGAAAGGATATCAATTATCTAGTCTAGCACTGACAACCATCCATCATATCTCCAGACTGGAAGGAGACAATTTTTTACTTATAAAACAATTAGAAGTCAAATGTATGAGAATCGTGATGAATTGCCCAGATAAACTTAGACTATTAAAGCCATATGCTTCGCTAATTGTTACGACTTTTTAATAGAGACTAGCATTTCATTGGCCCCGCATGCTCATCTGGGCAGCCATATCCATCAAAACCACTTCACTTTATGTTAGTTACTGAACGGAGCAGAAATAAGCTCCTGGGGGAGAGCACGCGCCAGGTCTCTTCGTAACCATGGTAATGGCCATGTTTACCTGACCCCACTTTTTCAGGTGATGTCTACTTCAGACATAACGGCACCATGGCAGATGCCCGCTCTGTTGCTATACCTTGAGGCAATACTTCCTCCAATACCATACTCCTCTTCAGCTCTTGAAAACTAATGGGTNCAACCAAAAAAAAAATCTGACAAGCCTTCTCCTTCACAATCCAGGAAAAGATGACAGTAAATCAAAGATCAGATTAACTTTTTTTTCAAATTCAATTAAGATTAACCTCCATATCCGCACCTTGACACCCAGATAATGTCTTAAAATTCAGCAACTTTCTTCATTAATTATACACAGCTATACTAGGCAGGTGAAAACACAGCTGACCCCTGTGTAACTACAAGCTTATAAGGTGGATGTGTTGGTGTGAAATGGCTAGCAGGCGATTCCTGCCACCACTGCCAGTCAATTTATACCTAAGGTAACAAACATTTAAACATCATGATTATTTCCTGGGGTTTCACTGAATATAACTTGCTTATCACCCAAATTTCAATATGAGTGAATATTTCCTGGGATGCCACTGAAAATTTACTGAGGTATCAAAAAAAAATCTCAATATTATGCAAACTTTTCCTGAAGAATCCTGGGATATCTGATTATTTACCAATGAATGAATCACTCATATCAAAACACTAACTGAACATTTCCTGGGGCGTCACATTAAAATTTACGAGGGAAGCAAGTATATTATCTTGAAATTGTGTAGACTTTTCTGAATAAAGTGTCAATGACTATTTTCTACCTATCTCTAGAAATATCCAGACACTAAAAATAGTTCCCAAAACCTGACTCACCTGCACCTTATCACACATCCCTTTGAGCTTCTGAATAAACTCCGTCCCCGATCTGGCACGTTCTGAAAGCGCTTGGAGATTTTGGGAAAGCTCATTCTGAAATGACAACAATAAATTACACATAAGAGGATTATATGTACAAAACAAAGAACAAAAACATTGCCAAAACGTATGTCCCCTGTCCTTTTTAATTTCAAGGAATTTACCTCCATTCAGTACCATCAGAGTAAAGCAAAACAAATATCATCTAAATTATATAACGGTAATAAATATAACAATTTCACATCAAAGCCTTTTACAGTATGCATGATTTCTACACGTACACTGGCATTATTGCATAAGCATTCGTTTATATGAATCTAAACATTTAATTATTACTAAGTTGAGCAAAATTTTCTCCCTTATAGCATTTTTACTTCTTGTCACATTTTTAAACCTTCATATCCAGTAACAAAGACAAAATAATCCAAAATATCATCATTTAAGTCTCTTGGAAGACCTGATTTCTGAAAAAGTCAAACATTTTACAATGGGGTAAAGATATCAAGGAGGGGGGGCAACACCATGGAATGGTTCTCAAAGGGTTTTTTTTTTTTTTTTTGGTAAGACAAGCCAAAATACACAGATTCCACGCCCAAAGGTAACCTTACAAGGTGTACATCCTCACAGATAGTGGAGGTGTGAACTGATTGCATTAGTATCAATCTATCTTGTCCTGAATGGGTACACTTACAGGGGTAATGTTTGTAAACGGACTCCTTTGGTAAACTAATTGTTTGCCAAAAGATCAACCAGAATAGCGTTAAGTTGCTTGTAAGCGATGCCTTGGAGATATCACACTTGCCAAGAAAAGCAGGGAAAGTATTTTAATTTAGTAGTTTACAGCAAGGTGGAGCATCAGCACAGTGTTTTCATTGTATTACCAATAAAGTGATGCAGCTGCCTAATCCAATATTTGCCTACCTGCCAAAAATAATACATTACCCAAGCACCTTAATGTTTCCATTTAAAAGAAGACCTTAGAGTTAATCAAAATAGATCAGTTATCCGTCAACACTGTACTCTGATTGACTATTATAGTCACACTGCTAGGAAGATGAAAAGTTATCCCTTTTCTTTGAGTAATATAATTCTTACCCTAGCATCAATGTCACGTTTTAATTTCTCTGTTTCAATCACATCTGTTATTACTTTTAATTACCTCCAAACAACAGCACTTATTTGTTTGGCTACGTCGGGAATTATCCCATCTTATGAATCATAGACACATCAGCCCATTCATCAGCCTACTATTTCTTTGTTTTCATCCTTAATTAAAAGGCCAGGGAAGAAAGAAAATCCATCTCTTCATAGCAACATACATTCTCCCCGGAGAACTCCAGAAATCAAACTGAACGGACCAAAAATCAAACGCAGATCACAAAGTTATTGTAAAAATGCATGACAGACGGCAGAGCTGTAACTGATACATTATCATAATCTTAACATAATCAGACTAGGTTCTAATCACTGACGATCTCATTTCACACATTATCTCCCAATAAACTGCTATCATTCCTGATCCATTAACCAAATTAGGTTAAAAGTGAATAAGCCACCCAGGCATAGTGAGCTAGCAAGAAAACATGACAAGTAAGCACTGGTTTGGACACAGGAATAACGATCCCTATGCATAGCTTAGTACAAAAGGAGGTGGGTTTTCTGACAAGGCAACCATGTGGTTTGGAACATTAGCAATTGAAAATCTTCTGTATCTTTAAAATTACAATCATTGATTATTTCATTGAATGGACACCATGTGGTTTGGTACATCACAGTTTACTATGCTATTCCATCTTTGCAAATGAGTGTCTGTTTTTTAAGAGAACAAATGAAATTTTCATTCACACTTGATGTCAAACAGCTGAATTGTCATTATCCAAGTCATAAGGTAAAGACCAACAATAATTTATCCTTTTTTTTCTTTTTTCGACAACTCCCCAGGGCCCCTTAGGCTCCATGTCATGTCTATGCCATAAATTACAAACACCAGTCTCTCCACAGGAAGCCTACAGGCATATTCAAACTAGATCTAACTTAAAACTAAAATAAGTCCGAAATATCATCTTGTCAATGGTACCCTGAGCCTCAAACTTAAAAATCTCTGGTCTATCAATCTCTTTGTATGATGACACATTTTAGGTTCCTCAATTTCACTTCCAAGTTTTATTTTGTCTGACTATTCTAGACCTTAAGCCTTCTTGTCAGACAGCCTTTTTTTGTAAAAGCCATCAGTAATTTGCCAATACAACTCTCTTAATTTTTCATGTGCATGTCTTGTACCATTGGCAAAATGGCAGCAATTACTTTGAGCTGGCCAATCAGTCTCCTGTTATTACTCACTCACTGCCAACATTGCACAACGAGTTGTTGTAGCTTGCCAAGTTTTCAACAAAAGAAGAAAAAAAGTGTCAGCCTACATAAAATTTTGGGTACTTGCTCATCCTTGCATGCTTCTTTGTATTTTCCACCCAAAACAATATGATAGGCCTGAGATGTTAATTTACACAACATCAAAATATTAGTTTATTAGCCATTCTGTTGTCACAAAGGTAACAGATGGGGAATTCTAGGAGCAACAAAAGCACAATTTCCATACATCTCCTCACACACTGTACCATCAAAACCAGTGGTTTTCTTATCCTGTTTAATGCCAATCTGCACATTCAATGAACTAACAGCGCTTAATCTGGAAGACTGATGAAGAAGGCTGCGTTCAAAACAGGTTTATGTTAAACCAGTGGTCTATCTCACAAAACTCCTTTTTTGCTTAGGGTAGAGTGTTGAAATCAGCTTACTCTGTAAAGCTAACTTTGTGATATTGGTTTGGGATGGTTATAAATACAATTTTGCTACTATAAATATAGTTTAGGTACCAAATTATGCCACTGTCACCAATGACATTAACAAATATATCGTAGTCTACTAAAACAAAGGTACCACCTGTCTAAAACATGGACAATTTCAATTACTTTTGCTTTTTGAACAATATTGTCATTAAAATGTTCTATTATTTGTTCTGAGTCAAAGTAAACTAAAGAGTTTAATCATTTTATTTCTTTCTCTTATGAAATTAGTCCCTAAAAACATCAGTTGTACTGTTAACATTTAAAGCTATTTGGAGTAGTGAACGCGTCAAAAGAGATCTCCCTGTATTTACATGACAGCCAACAGGATCAATGTTATAGCACCCAACAGATGAGTTGATATCAGACATTGATGCTAACCATTTCTCTTGGTTTGCACATTGGGTTGATATGTGTTTGATCTGTAATATAAATCAATGGGCTGAATTGGGCACATCTGTAGAGAAAGCCTCATAGTTAGACTAATTACCCTTTTAGTGCCGAAGTATACCCAGTACAAATTATGCTGCCAACCTTTGCATCATACCCTATCAGTCTCCTTTCCAAGAGCCTTACAGAAACACGTCAGTTTTTTTTTTCTTTCCTTGTTCTTAGAAAGCAATAACGTTAACTAGGTATGCACTTCATCCATTACTGTCAACCTTCAGACTGACACTTTTATGTAGAAACAGCTAACGCAACTCCTACACCATTCATTAACAAGCTTGACAAAGGAAAGTGATTCACACGTGTCAGTTTGGTTGGGCTTTTGTTTTTCTATTCCCCAAACGAAATATATGTCAATTGCATAACATAATGCTGGAACAAAAGCATCCTGTCACGCAATCAACTTTGGCCATCTCAAATTCATTTTACTTGAAAGTTGAATTATTAAGAAGCAAAACAGCATTGCCAACTCTGATGTCATCATAAGCAGCTAGACTCAAGTTCAACCAGCCTCAGAAATGAAAGGATATCAATTATCTAGTCTAGCACTGACAACCATCCATCATATCTCCAGACTGGAAGGAGACAATTTTTTACTTATAAAACAATTAGAAGTCAAATGTATGAGAATCGTGATGAATTGCCCAGATTAACTTAAGACTATTAAAGCCATATGCTTCGCTAATTGTTACGACTTTTTAATAGAGACTAGCATTTCATTGGCCCCGCATGCTCATCTGGGCAGCCATATCCATCAAAACCACTTCACTTTATGTTAGTTACTGAACGGAGCAGAAATAAGCTCCTGGGGGAGAGCACGCACCAGGTCTCTTCGTAACCATGGTAATGGCCATGTTTACCTGACCCCACTTTTTCAGGTGATGTCTACTTCAGACATAACGGCACCATGGCAGATGCCCGCTCTGTTGCTATACCTTGAGGCAACACTTCCTCCAATACCATACTCCTCTTCAGCTCTTGAAAACTAATGGGCGCATAAACAAAACTTTCTGTCTTAAAGCACAGGACAAGACTCCTATACAAAAAGATGCTCTTCAAAGTAATGGTAACATAAACATAACTTTCTATCTTTAAATACCCCACAAGGCCCCCACACAAAAAAAGGCTGCAAACCGCCAAAAGAAATAACAAGCTACCCCAGTGGGTAGGCATAAGGACAAAGATATAGGGGATAATGGGGCTTTATATTAAGAAGGTAACAGAAAATGAAATGCAGCCTTCAAATTATTCTGCAGACAACAGGTACTTGAACATGGCCCCACTTTCCAGGCCACTGAATGTTGTAGTTATCTAAGGAAATTTACATCTCTCCCTTTTAACAGTTAAAACTATACTTGAACTGTACTAGTACTTGAGCTGGGAAGCGTGAAGCTGTTAAATCACCAATTAGAATGAGGATATGATATCATAAATCAACGAAAGATTTTTTTTCTTTTTTCTCCCCCCTGACTGTCACCTTAGACCCCACAATTTCATCAACAGTCTATATAGCATATCAGTACTCAAACAGGTTTTATTTTTTATAAAATAAAGTTTTGCTGCTTTCCTCACCCTCCCTCCCAATAATATTTATCCCCTCATAATCATGAATGACTCCTTTACTACAGGTAGAAGATGCCTGCCCACTGACAAGTCACTGACAACCACCACAGTGCTGAGCTTCAGAGTTCAAAGAAAGGAATCCTAACTTTTCACCACAACACTGCATCAAATTGCTCCCACTGAGCTTTGAAAATCCTTGCA